CTATTCCTTTTTCTTCTTTTGTCCTCTCCTGGTAGTTATGGAAGGATATTAGATGTTTGTGGTTTGCAAAAGAGTGATCCATAACTCTCAAATACCAGTGACTTCCTTGTATACCAGGTCTGTTGTGTCCATCTGTACAGAACACATTGAGTATGTGGCTGTGATGCAGGGCATTGTGCGACTCAATTCTGTTGTCCTGTGTATGTGCACACCTTCCAGCTGGACAGCCAGACCTGTGCTATATTTTTCTGGAGGAAATCTTTGTTGCTAGTAAAAGGCCTCTCTGTAGTATTGTGGGCTGTTCCAAGGACATAGGTACTCTCCTCTGCTGTCCACACTGTTTTCCCAGTGATCCACTGAGGTCTATCCCTGTATTTTGGCCCCAAGCCTCTACTGCATTTCTTCTGGAGATTTTAGGTAGAACCAGAGTGAAATAGAAGCTTGCCTTTATTTGGGAAGGAGGAGAGAGGAGAAAGATTGATAGAGAAGTGAGGCTTTGGAATAACTAGTGAACTGAGCACTGGGCTGCTGTGGTGTCTAGGAGGCACAGCTACAGCAGTGTGGTATGAGTTGGGTAGTACAAATAGGGCAAAAATTCTTGTTGTGCATATTTTAAATAGTATCTGTGTCTAGGTAGGAAGGAGAATGACACATACCCTAGTACGTTCCAGTTGGATAATGCATGATGTGACAGACTTGTATTGTAGCTGTTTGCCAAACAGGCTTTGCTTCTTCATGTGTGCCTTGTTCAGATTTACTAATGCAGCTGAATTTCCAGCAGAGGAGCCTTCATCACTTGAGCTGGGGAAGATGTCTTTGACCTGCAAATTAGCGGTAAAGAAATATAAGTGAAGTTTGCTAATTGATCTGTTAATACATCCCTGGATGTCACTCACTAAGAACAGAGATGCCTTCTTGCCATTTTCACCTTGAAGGGGGAGTAGGACTTTCATCCCATTATTTCAAAAACGCAGCCTCTAAGCTGGTTTATGTGCTTTGTAGCATGTAGTAAAGTTTATTCTGCCCACTTGACCTCAACAAGTTGACGTAACAGAAGCTGCAACTGGGGAATACAAATTATACTTTTGATAGCCTTTTTTATTTTTCCCCTAGTAATTCTTAAGTCAAGACTTAATGAACCAAAATTATACACTTTTTTATTCTCTCTAGATCTGGGCATATAACTTTAATAGTAGGTCTGGGATGGTTCACTGGCTTGTATTTTATACTATTGCCTGTCACAGAAACTGAATTAAACCAGCTTATTATATCAGATTTGTCAGTATAACTTAGAGCAGTGTTGTTCTACTGTCTGATGCTCTTCTGATTCTCTCATGAAACCATTTATCTATGTGAAGTCTTCATTAACTTTATGTTTCAGTCATGAAGCATGAAATATCTTCTCTTAAAGACTTTTGAACCTGATATGTTGAATTCTGTATCAATCCTCTTAAATGACATATCTACTGAAAACTACCCTGCTCCTTTCAGCAAATTTTAGTTTATACCAAATGTCCACTGGCTATAGATGATCTTTGAGAAACAAAACAGAATTTACACTGATGAAAAGAGGAGCCATATCTCCAGAACACTGTTTAAGTCACAAACCTCATGTATGTTTGAGGCATCACCTGCAGCACTGAGAGAAACCAAACGTGTAATCCTGGAAATGGCTGTAATTTTTGCTGTGAAAGTACTTTGCGAGGGGAAATTGTAACGGTGACTTCTTGGTTTTGATCTGTAGGCTTAAATATAGAGCTGCTAAACAAAAACACTGTATGACCTCCTTTTCTATGTGGATTTTTAGCACTTTTGATTGTCTTGCTTCACGGAAGATCCCTTTTCTTCTCTTCCCCCCACCCCCCACTTCCATGCACTCTCTTTTTTCTACTTCCTCTGTATAGGGAGGAGTCACCTGAAGGCCTTTCCTCCCAAAAAGCAATGGGTTTGAGTTGAAAGCCACAGGACTGAAGATATAAGCAGTGGTGCTCGTAGAGAGTATAAGACAGTGGCAGTTCAGAAGAGCCTAACTTGTGCATCCCAGTGTCAGGGTATTTGGATGAGGCTCCATCCTCCTCAGCAACTCAGAGTTTCTAGAGTGGGTCATTCAGAACCACTGATGAGCAGTATCACCTGTGATGTGTGCAAGGCAGCAAGGTGAGACCAGCAACAGGCAAAGCAGGAATCTCAGTACTGGGGGTAGAGTGCTGTGCTAGAGCAGAGTCTCTCCTTAGTAAACCTAGGCAATAATGAAAATCTTGGGAAAGAGGCTGAAGCGCTCTCAGCTGGGGGTGTGGCTTCCCCATGCAGCTGGAAGCCGCTTTTTCAATGTGCCACCTCAACAGCATGCTCAGTCCTTCCTATCCAGTTGTAGCCAGAATAAGAGGAGTTGGAGGATATCTCTGCTCTTCTGCCTTACCTTTAAATTAAATTGCAAGGGAAGTCCAGAGTCAGTGGCTGGGAGGAAGGCAGACAGTTATGAACAGGTAGAGTGGTGATATGTACCCACAGGCATGGCTGCATATGTGTTTGCAGAGGCAGTTGTACGTGATTGCATCCTAATTTGCAAAGGACCCTTACTCACATCTTTGATTTCTCTTGAGTGATAAGACTCAAATGCTTTTGGTTTTGAAGGGTGACTGCTGTCTCAATTGCTCACACAGCAGAAGTCCTGCTGGAGCAGGAGTTTCAAAAGTTGTGTTGAAAGCTAGGAATGATCCCTCACTCATGGCCTCCTTACCCAGCAGAAGAGGGGAAGTCACATCCCTGAAGAGTGAGACCACTTTGTGCAGCAAGAGGAGCTGAATAGCTGGCTTTAACTGCAGCAAAGACTGGTGTTTGTGTGGAGGAAAAATAGAATAAACACAAACTTCTGTGGTAGTTGTAGCAGGAAGAGTGAACTCTGATAGCCCGGGTTATAAAGCAGCTTTGGTATGGAAGAAAGAAAAAACAGGGCTTTCTTCCAAGGCCCAGCAAATATATGCTTAGCTCTTTATTACTGTCCTAGAAACATCCCTGGAAGTGTCTGAAACAATGTGTATCTGGACAGTACAGCTCTGAACTTTCCCTTGGCCCTTTCAGGGATGAGATCTAGCTGCCCAGGGATCTTCTGCAGTTCAGTTTAGTGCTCAGGGCTTTGCAGAAACCAGACGCGTAGCTTCTTCTGCAGCAGTGACTTGGAAAAAAAGGAAAAATTGTATCCAATTTTACCATGCAGAGTGGAAACCCAGCTAGGAAAATTGTCCTGTCACCTGGAAGCTGGGTTTCATTAACTGGGTTTCATTTGTTAGACCCTATCTTATAGTGGAGTATTTTTGTGTGGAAGGTGCCATATCCTGATGGTTAATTACAAACTAACTGGAATTTCTTATGAGTGATAAGACAGTTAAGCAGCCCTCCTCAGTAAAGCAGTAAAGAGCATTTTCCTCTTGGTGGCAAAGGTTTTGACAGATTTTGCCCCATCAGAATTAGAAAGATCCAAACGTGACCCGTCAAGGGAACTTGATCTCAGAGATGTGGCTCTGCTGAATTCTCTTCCATCAGATGCTCTGTCAACATTATTTCTGCCTTTCTGAGGTATTATTACTTTATCTCAGTAAGCGTTTGTTGGAGGGTTTTTTTAAGGTTTGTGTTCTTCACCCAGCAACAAAATACAGTTGAGCCACAAAAGCAAATACTTGATTGGGTCTGTTTTACTCTCTTGAAGAGTGTTTGCTTCAAATTGCTGCAACCTTTTCATAGCTCCTTTGTTCTGCAGTGATCAGGAGCTCTGGACCCACTTAATTTCCTGCCAGTTCCTGTGCACTGGCAGCCCTCTATTTGTTCTCTCCCGTGCTTTATTTTGCCTTGTTGTGACTGCAAGTAGAAAGTGCTAGGAAGGCCAGCTGGGGTGCACTTCGTTGCTTGCCTTCCCTGCCTTTGATCTAGCTACAGAAACTCCTGCTGTTTGTTACCTGCACTGTAGTGTGGATTGGGGAGAGAGGCTTGGTGGCAGTTTGTGTCTGCTGCTGCAGAGGAAGGCTGGTAGTTCAAGTTTTCAATGCCAGTTGTAATTTTTTAAGCTCCAGAGGAGATGGTTAACCTTAAGTGTGATAGAAATGCTGCAGTAAATGTGTCCTAGTGGGTGGAGGAAGATGCTCACAAGTGTCTGTTCTGCTCTGCTCACTGGTTTGCTCTCAGCAAGTCTGCTTACCTCTGCCCAGTGGGGAAGGGGATAGATGCTGGAGACGAATAGGGATGCTAAGTTTTTGGCTCAAACACTATGCTTGAAATCCAGTCTGTGCTTTTGAAGTACATGTCTTAGTTCTGGCCCTCCTTTACCCCAGTCACACGTGCATTTCTCTGGAGCGAAGCCTAGCAAAAGTATGTTTGTGAAACACTTCACAACCCATGAATGCAAATGCTGTCAAATGCAAACCTCTTTTATTCTTTTGTCACGTATTTTAATGTTCTTTCAAGCTCATTGCTGTAGACCTATGCTGCTTGGGAGGTGCAAGGAGAGCAGCATGCTGGGCCAGCCCCTCTGAGTTGGGGAGATCTGTCCCGCTCGGGTTTCAGTAACACAATGCTTTGTGCAGCCATGTGCGTGCACAAAGAGCCAACTGGCTGGAGCTCCTGTGGTGACGCTTGGCTGATTTGGCAGCCGGATTGATTCTGTCAAGTTACAGTATGGGAGTTAAGTCCAGCTTCAAATCCTCTCCCTTACTCGCTCAAGAAACTTGGAGGGGGGAGGAGAGGGAAGAAGGGGGGGAAAGCTCTCTGGGGACTTTGTGTCATTATTGGCATGGAAACATTTTGTGATTATCAGCAGCAGGGTAGTGGCAAGAGGCTGATTATCTATCATGTCGTCAGCATAAATAACCAGTGGGCCCCTGAGCAGGGCTCCGCCTTTTGTAATGGCTTCACGTAATCACTGCATAGCAGTTTAAAAGCAAGCAGTACAGAAAAACAGCTGGACTGATTCTGACCCTAACTGATGTTGCCTTTTCTCCCCTCACTAGAAGAGAAATATGTCACTATCCAGCCGTACGCCAGCCAGGGGAAGGATGAGATTGGGTTCGAAAAAGGGGTCACCGTGGAGGTCATCCAAAAGAACCTGGAAGGATGGTGGTACATAAGGTAAAGAAGCTCTGCAGCCTGATTGCTGCAGAAACTGTGACAGTGAGCTTTTCTGATCATTCACTTAATGTTTGCATTTAAATACTTCTGTAGCTGAGCAAGGAAGCCCAAATTGTTCATAATGCCTCTTGAAGAAACATAAAGTCTAAGGCGATACAATGGTGATTAAAGTAACACTACAGTGTCTGCAAAGGCTGTGGACCATTCCAGTGAGCAAATGCCTTAACTTGTAGTTTTAGAGGGTTTTTCTTTCTTGCTTCAAGTTAAAAGCCCGTATCTGAGTTAAGATCTGTGAGACCTAACAAGGCTTTCTGTTGTGTGTGATTTCAATGTGTTTCCAGTATAAGAGTTATTCTGCAACGTGTTTAAATCTATTTATAGCAGTACTGAAAGGCTGATTGTGATCTCTTGAGCTGTTTGGGGCAGGTAAGTGCTACTTTCAGAGAAATAAAAGATCAGTTTGCTGGGTATAGCCCTGTTCCAAACTTACCAATGGTTTCAACTAGTTTGCCTTGATTTCTACCTGTCAACATTATATATTCCTAATGTAGAGAGACTGTATTCCAAAGGCAGGTGAAGTTGTTATTGGGTATCAAACTTTGTTGAGTATTTGGAACAGCAGTCATAGCAGAGAGTTTTGACTTAAGAATCTCCTTTTTAAATGCTTATGGGGAGAGTGTAGGTTAGATGTTGTCTCAGTGATGTAAGGTGTCAGGGTAAGTACTTAATGAGAGCTTTCTTTATCTGGGATTACATGGCATTTAGGTTTTAGTGCTCTTTCATGGTTCTGCTCCTTGTCTTGTATCTTAGTGTGAATCTCTGTGATATCCTGTCTCTTTAAGCAAGATGTGATACAACAGGTAGTTTAAAAATGAAGGTTTATCTCTCAGCAGTGCAAAACATCTCATCTAGTCATCTTTTTCCATTCAACTTTTAATTACAGTGATTATTTTTTCCCCTTTCCCTCCCTAAGTAATAACTTGCTTTTGTTTGAATTCTACTTCATGTATCAACTATGAATGAGGACTGTGAAAATGCTGACTGAAGCAATGTTGTTGTTTTTCTTGATTTCCCTTACTTAGAAAGCCGATTTTTTTTTTCTTCTATTTAATGGTCCCACAGAGTGAATAAGCTAATAAAGATAGCAGTGGAGCCAGGAAGGCACTCTAGATAGGAGGAACTAAAAAATGCCTGGGTTTGGTCAGGTCACATTTTTTTCTCCTTTAATCATCCACAGAAGTGGAATCCAAAGTTGCAGATAGGGGAATTGAGCACATAGGTTTTCTGAGGGGAGAACCACTGCAAGACATCTCTAGTTTATTTTTGTATTCTCTTTCTGAAATGTAGCCTGGTTACTAGTATAAGTTTCCCTTTGACATGTTGACACTTCTACATTAAGCAGAATTTTTTTTCCCCGTTTTCTCACACACTCCTCTGGGCCAACCCAAAAGACACATTTTTCTGTTTGGCAGAAGTGCCTTCTGTGGGATGAGGGCACTTGCTGCAGTGCTTTGTGTGGCACCTTCATTCGTGGCAATCTGCTAGAAGGACAGTGGATGCCCCAGCCACCCCATGTGGTTGAAGAATGCAGCATTTGCTTGGTTTTTTTGTAAGAGAGCTCAACTCGATTTTGAGTTGAGATACCCCTCTTCTTATTGAAAGATGGATTAGGTGCTCCCCATACGTGTGACAAGCATGTGGAGTGTCAACTATAATCCTCTCTGCTGCTCTGGAACATTACACTACACTCTTGCTGGAGGATTAAACTCTTAGAAATCTAAAAGTTTGGTTTGTTGTTTTGTTTTGTTTTGTTTTGTGTTTTTTCATGGGCAGCACTTCTGGAAACATTGGTGTGGTCCATCCCTGCAGGCTGGTCCTTTGCAGCCTGGGTAGCTGATCTCCAACTTCTTGTCCTGTTCATTATATGTAAAGTGCCCTCTGAGTACTGTTAGGTACCCCTCAGAAAAGGATTCCATTTCTGCAGAAACTTGCTTCTCTGAGTATTGAGGGCCTTAGAAGGAGCAACTCCTCCTGTCATGAGTGTGAGGGGAGAGGGAGCAGGAAGAGAATGCAGTTGGATCCTGCTGACTTGTCTGCTGGGCTGGATAACAGACTGAGCACACTTCAGTGTGTAGAAGTAAAAACAAATCCAATAGTTTGCAATGGAATCCACCTTAAAGACATTAGCTTGTTCCACCTTAAATACGTAATTTCTCCAAATTCTTGGCCATGTGCTGATCCTCATTTCCTGTCCTTATTTTTTTCTTTTCTTTTCTTTTTTTTTTTCTTTTTTTCCCCTAGTTTGCTTCCCTCTGGAGTAATTCCAGTGCTCTGGAGCTGGAAAGCAGATGTGACTCTCAGACTTACAGAGGCACTTCTGACTTTTTTTTAACATTCCTATGGTTTTAATCCATTTTTTCCTTCATGTAATATAAACAGGGAGGATTTTAGAATCATGAAGGAACCAAATCACTGCACCTAATTCTGAAACCCTGTAGAAGCTAGAAGAAATGTTGGTGTCTGTCTTTATTTTGTCCCATGTACACTATGACTCTTTAAAAAAAAAAAAAAAAAGAAAAAAAACACATCAGGACCCCTGGGAAATGAAAGAAAGGCTCTGACCTGGGATCCTTCTTATTATGTGCAGATCTGCTTCCTGGTGTGCCCAAAGCTGGCATCAACATCCATCATTTAGATCTTACTTTGTATCTCTTTCTGTCACCTGGAGGTAGTCTCGTGGTGCCCAAGTGGACTTGACTGAAGGACAAAAAAGTAACGATATGCTAAGTAAGGCTTTTGTTATTTGCCTGTGTCTTCATTCTGTGGTTGTTCTGAGCCTCAGCGTATGTGAATGAAGTACAGCTGGGAGGTGTTAGCAGCACTGAAAAGAGGAGGAATCTAGGATGGGATTTGAAACGTTTCCAGTAGCTTGTGAATATAAATGAAGGAAGGATGCTTGTGTTTCAACTCTTAGATGTGAAATGAAGATCATTACTGGTCCAGGACTTCTCTGAAACTGATAAGGAGTTGCTTTAGTTCTTTCACCTATTAAATGGGGAGATACAGTAGTCTTCTAGGGTTGTGTGCAAAGAACTTTATGATTACCAAATTCAAGAATTAAAGTAAAAAAATTAAACCTATTTGACTTACATAAATAGTTTTTATTTGTGATGTTACAGAAATAAACTGGCAGTTGCTGGCGACTACTGCTCAGCATTAACTCCAGGTTGTATTGACTAACTCCAGGGAAGTAATAGCCTGCAAACAGCCTCCCTACTGAGGGTTTGTTGCCCAGAGTTATTAACTGTCCAGCTATTGCTGCTCTTATTCATTGGGAGAAACTCTGTGGGATCAGAGGTGTTTGAAGCAGTGGGGTTATACAGGCTGATCCAAATACATACAGTTGGCAGGAGAACTGACAAGCCAGAACAGAACCTGCCTGTGGCTGCCTTTCTGATCTTAAACATGTTAAGTCTCCCACAAACTAAGATGGATGTAAACTGTTTTTTCTTGCTGATTTTGCACAGTCAAGCTCTGTTGAAAGTAACCTTTGGAACTGGACTGCTCAGTGCATTGGCCACTGTGGCTTTCTCACAGATGAAGACCTTTACATCTACAGATCATGTCAATTTATAAAATGTCCTGTAAAAAAAACCCTTTCTTGATGCACAGAAAGCATTGGTCAGTAGCTCTGCAAAAGAACCATCAATTGCAAAAGGGAATAAAGCCAAAAGTCTTCCGGGCTGGAAAATGGCACTAAGAGATGCCTTGCCACAGCAGGAAACGCTAGCACATATTGAGGCCTTTCTTCTTTTTCGTTTTTGGCTTGGTTTGAGGCTTAGCAGAAAAACCTCAAAAAAGACAGGATTGAATAAATCCAAATTGCATCTTGACATAGTATCACACAGTGGATGCTGTGTATCTGTTTGAAACCAGATGAAGTCATTACCATTTTGATACTTCTTCCTTGTCTCCATGTGTCAAACAAAGCTCAGAGATGTTGGAATACTTTCCACCCACACCAGAATCTTTGGAAAAACTAGTCACTAAGCTACCTGAGCAGGGGAGATCCCATATCTTTGCTTCCCTGTGTGACAGAAGACAGGTATGTAGGGAGAAGCAGCATCTCTAGTATCCTGGCTCATCTGGGGGATTGGGGAGGAAAAGGCAGGATTTTGGACAGAAAGGTCCTTGTAGTCATTGCTGGAAGTACAGCAGTGATATTTGCTTTTGTACAGGAAGAGTAATGAAGTCTAAGCAATCAAATCTACACTGTATTTTCCTGTGCTCCCCACAAAGTCCCAGTGCCGTTCAAGTGTCTGGATATGGTGAGTGAGACCAGGATGTGACTTGATGCAGAAATCTCACCGCAAACCTCAGAATCCATGTATCATCATAACAAAGATGCTCACCTGCCAAGGAATGATTTACTCATATGCCACATGCCCTCGTTCCTTCCTCTGCTGTCTAATGAGGTTTCATTTTCATTAAAGAGCTTTAAAGTCCTACTGTTTTAACCTTTATATTTCCTGCAGATTTCCTGAGCACCAGGATTTTAATGGTGCCTGCTTTCCCACTTTCATTTCAAGCGCCTGCTTTGGGTATCTTGAGAGATTAAAGAGAGAAGGGTTTCAGTGACTCACTCTGTAGCAAGTTGGGATTTCATTAGGGAAAGCAGAGTTCATCCACGTGGTCCTCCCTGGAGTCTGATTGTAATCTGAAATCCCTGCTGAGGTGTTAGGAATGACAGGAGTTAGAAAAAACATCTTCCCCAAAGCCCAGTTGTGGAAGAATGACTTCAGTTTGAAGTGGAGCATGATCAGCTCAGTCTGGTGTTTCGGGAACACATACTGGATTCAGGTGTCTGTTCAGATTTCCCAGTTTATTTTTCCAAATAACCTCTAGCTTGTTCAGGAAAATGAGTCTCCATTGAAACCTTTTTCCCTTAGTCAAATTGTTACTTGATCTTGCAGCGCTAGAGGAAGCTATAGTAGTTTAAGGGTCCCATATTCTCCATAAGAGAAAGCTGGTCATACAGAACAGGGAGTTATGGAAGGAAGGGCAGTGTCCATTATAATTGCAAGGAGGGAGGCTTGCACAAGGGTCTTATAAACTGCAGGCATTGAGTCTCTCTACTGGGCTCTGTACACCCTTATTTTAGCCTTTTCCATTTTGAGTTGCTATTAGGAAGTATAAAAACTATTAAAATATTCTACTCACTACTTTGCTTTTTTGCTGTATGGGGAAACACTGAATTTACCTAGCCTTGTCAAACTGGTGAGAGCCTTCACCTTGTGAGTAACTGTATTTCTTGTCCACAGTCTCCTTCTTTAGTGTGATTAGTGGCTCTTAACTCCACAGTTCACTACTAGCTCAGCTAACTTTGACAGGTCCAATCAATATGTAATAAATTGAGACCACAAAAATCTTCTTTGAGAACTGCAAATTTTGTTTGTTGTTATCATCTGTCACTTTTGCTTTAGTTGTTCTACCTGAAATGAGTGAGAAGGCTGTGTTTGATGTGATGATGTTTCCTTTTATATCTGCAGGTATCTAGGCAAAGAGGGCTGGGCACCAGCTTCATATCTGAAGAAGGCTAAAGATGATCTTCCATCTAGAAAAAAGAACTTAACTGGACCAGTGGAAATCATAGGAAACATCATGGAGATCAGTAACCTGCTGAACAAGAAATCGTCCACTGACAAGGAAGCTCAAGTAGAAAATGAGACTGCAGAAACCCATATCACCAAGAAGGAAATAAGTTTACCCATCCTGTGCAATGACTCTAATGGCAATGCCATGATGACTTCAGACAAGCAGGTTTCCAGACTGGCCCAAGGATCCCCAGCCATAGCAAGGATAGCACCACAAAGAGCTCAAATAAGTAAGGCAGAAAAGTAGTCTGGGTTTTTATGGGCTTGCAGTGAATTTTATTCTCTATCTTTGAGGGCTGGCATTGCCTGTCAGCTGAGGTCCCACATGTTTTGGCCTTATAGCCAAGTCCACACAAGCAGACCTTTGCACTGTCTCTAGATCTATCTACAGGGACTCCAGAACAAGACCCTTCAATTGTAGCGATAAAATTTTGACTTCATTTTATACAAGAGCTGGATGGTGGCTCTTTAACTTACCCTGCATGTGTTTACTTTGTTATTTTTTTTCCCAGAGAAGACTTTTTTTTCCTTTTGAACACTCTAAAATGTGTTCCTACCCCAGAAATGCAGATGATGTGATGGTGTATTCAAGTCAAGGAAACAACCTGTGTCTTCTCTTGCATTTGTTCTGCTGTTGCCCTCAGGGCAAGTTGCTATAATGTTTTTACTACTTCATCTGCAGATTGCAGATGCTGACACTTGTCTGTGCAGGGAATGGCAAAATACTGTGGTAGAGGACAGTATGAGTGTTAATAATTTACTGGATGATTTTTACTGCTGGGGGGGAAACTAGGTATTAGGTCAGTTCTTTGCTGGCCAGTCTCCAATGGAACTGGTCAGTTCCAGCAGAAAATACAATCCACTACTTTCTGGCAGTGATTTCCTCTTAAATTTGCTGGCTTAGCTGAGATGAATAGCTAAGCTACCCTGGTATTTCTAATACACCCTCATAGTTTCCTATCTTGTTTCATAGAGATGCCTTAAATATTGCAAATACTGACTTCTAATATTCTCAAACTGTGTAATAGCAGAGAGCTGCTGGAAAATGTGCTTAGCAGTGCTTTCAAAGCTAAATAAACTCTCCTTTTTGCCCTTTCCTGCTCAGGTTCTCCAAATCTAAGAACAAGACCGCCCCCACGAAGAGAATCCAGTCTGGTTTGTATTGGTTTATGGTATATGTTAGCAGTAGGGTAGGTGTCTGGGCACTTTGTGAGACTTTCTGCATCTCTACAGGGTATGGGGGGCATCTGAGAGATCCCTTATTTGCATGCCTGTTCATTTAATTGTTTAAGTATTGAGCAGATCTCTGGACATCATAATGTTGACTGGGGATTTCTGTTATTCAAAATGCTGCCCCAAATAATCAGACCTGAAGGGAGAACTTGCTAAGGCTACTATGGTCTGTACATGAGCATTAAAGCTTGTTTGGCTGACTCAGAAGGTTTTAAGTTCCTCCTGGTGTCTTTGGCCCAGACTGAATTTTTTCTTGGCTTAAGCAAGTAGGAATGTATCCCCTCCTCCCATTGCTGCCATCTTTGAGGTGGCTAAGATGCACTCTTGTGTGTGTTTGAAGTGCTTGGAATCTTATGGAAGGATGTATGCTACAGGAATGAGACCTCCTATGATTGCTTATGCTCCAAGATGGAATTCTGGAAGTTTGTACCAATTGGAGATTAGAACTGTCACCTTCAGATAGGAGCGACTCAGTGTATTTGTATGGAAGTCATGCTCATAGCTTGTTTATCCAGGCAGTACGTAGTGTTTAATCTTTGCTGTACCCTTTCTGAGCAGTATGTGACTTGAAATTTTTCTGTGTCACCTGAAACACTTCCTAAACTAGATGAATAGCATATTAGTATTTTCTCCCTATTTTTCTTTGCGTTATTTTCAATTAGACTTTGTTTTGCTAAGACTACAACACTTAATCCCATGCTAAAAGTAATAGTGATATTATATGTGAAACTCTGAACATATCTGCTGTTTCCAATTATCTTCATTTAATCCAAACCATCCTATTATCTGAAGGCATCTTATTATGGCATGCTTCTGCTGTATTTCAGCATTTATAGTGCAGAAACATCCAATTATAACATTGTTAGACACGGTTCCTAAGGTGCAGAGATGCAGCCTCTGAGAAATGCTACATGCTGTGCGTGATGAAACGTCAGCTTTTAGTTACAGCAAGGGTATCTTAGAAATGGAGGAGCACCAGAACAAAGCACAGTATGCAGTTTGCCTTTCTTCCATTAATGTCTTAGGATTATTTTGTGTCTTTAGCAATCCAGTGTCTGTGGATGCTGTGACCTGTGGTCAAGAGATCCTGACACAACTGCAGTTCTTTCACAGAACCCTAAGCAGTGAAATGTAGAAACTGTGAAGCTTCACCATCATCTAGTTGTCCCGTAGATGAGCCCTATGCACTGAAAAGCTTTCAATATTGAAATTCTTAAAAGGAATCCTATTTATCACCTCAGAAATAATTGTAGCAAACTCTAAAATGTAACAGCTTAATGTAAAAGCTTTTAGAGGAGTTTAAAAAGGTTTTAGAGCAGTCTGCTATGCTGCCAGAATGGCTGTAAATAGCAGTGTCCCACTTCTCATAGAACCTTTATGAGGGTTGTGTTGGGACTGAATAGAAGTTCTGGGTCTGTTACAGGGAGGGAACTGGATTCTATAGTAGAGTCCTTCCCTTCTGCTAGCACTCTAGCTGAGCAAAGCTCCTCATAGGGGTCTATGATGTTATCCTTGTTTCTTGATACAATAGATGCCCATTAGCTCATATCACTGACTAATTCAGATTGTTTAAAAATCCAGCAGCAGATTAGGAGCAATAGTTTATTGGGATTACATTTAGTGATAGGCAGAATCTGTTAGCAGCCTGTTGCAATGCAATTTTCTGCAGCTATGGCAAGTAATCCAGAGCTGGGTCTTTCGGGGAAAAAAATCTCAGCATAAATGGGCTGCTGTTACTGTGAGTGGAATGGCAGCTCACACTTTATGGCCCATGAGTAAAATGTTTTACTATTCAGGTAAAGATTATCACAGTTTTAATAGCTGGTGAAAGTGGCATGAACAGTGCATATGTTGAACAGCTTCTCTCTTGTGGCCCGTATCAATTCATCAGCTTCTGCTCTGGAGAACTGGGAAGTTATAATTAGGAAGTAGCACAGGAAGAAGGAAGAGTTTTAGTGAATAAAGGCAATTATTTTTTCGTACTGCTGTTCAACTTGCTGTTTCTCTGGTTTAATTGAACAAAATGTCCTATTTACCATAGGGTTTTCAGTTACCCAAGCCACCAGAGCCACCCTCTGTGGAAGTGGAATATTACACCATTGCAGAGTTCCAGTCATGTATCTCTGACGGCATAAGCTTTCGTGGAGGACAAAAAGCAGAGGTGAGCCTTAGTGGAAACATTATATTTGGCTATTGCAGGGGACTGGATTGAAAGAGGAGGAGTTTCCCCAGCAGTTGGTTGAGATTTTGGTCCAAGTAACATGTTCCTTGTCACCTCTTAGGTTATAGAAAAGAATTCTGGTGGCTGGTGGTATGTGCAGATTGGAGAGAAGGAAGGATGGGCTCCAGCATCTTACATTGACAAGAGGAAGAAACCAAATTTAAACAGAAGAACCAGTACTTTAACCCGCCCAAAGGTTCCTCCCCCAGCACCTCCCAGTAAACCAAAAGATTCTGAAGAAGGAAAAACTCCTGGAGCAGTTTCTTCAGGAGATACCCAGGAATCTCCCCACAAGCTGAAATATGAAGAACCTGAGTATGATGTGCCAGCCTTTGGCTTTGACTCAGAGTGTGAAGTGAGTGAAAGTCATCATGAAGAGGGCGCTCCTGAAAAACGGCTATTTCAGCCCCTCAAACCCTCACCTGTATCATCACTTCAGAAAGCAAAGCTCAAAGTGGGAGAGTCTTCAGAAGAAGCTACTCATGAAGAAGAGACCATCTATGAGAACGAGGGATTCAGACGTTATGTGGAAGATGCTTTGTCCAATAAGGAATCCAGTGGAGATTCTGATTCTCAGAAAAGCTCCTCTCTGTCCTTGATCCAAAGGAATTCTCCATGTTCCAGCTCTCCTAAATCATCACTCGTGAAGCTCAAGACAGAGAAAAACATCCAGCCCGATCTTGGAAAATGTCACTATTCCAGGAGTGAGGAGACAAAACCAAGGTCAGCTTCAGACGTTGGCTTACGTAGCATGTCAAGAACGGGCATGAAGAAGGAGCCTGGGCAGAGTCCTTCCATTAGAGCAAAGCCAATTGTTAGGCCCAAACCCTTCCTGAACAAGGCAGACTCTCAGAGCCAAGAAAAGATGGATATTAGCACTTTAAGGCGTCAGTTGAGGCCAACTGGGCAGCTCAGAGGTGGACTTAAAGGTTCGAGAAGTGAAGAGTCTGCAAGCCCCCCACGCACAGCTTCTGAGAACCAAGATGACCCTGTTAGGAGAGGCTCAGCTGATCTCATCACAGCTCCTTCCCGTGGCATTTTCTGCTCCAGCCATACAGCCAAAACTGAGCAAGAAAATGATTCCAGATGTTTCTATGTGACCACTGACTCATACCAAAAGGTACAGGATTCTGAAATTTGCTTCCCAGCTGGAGTAGAAGTGGAAGTGCTGGAAAAGCAAGCCAGTGGATGGTGGTACCTGAAGTACGGAGACGCGGAAGGCTGGGCTCCTTCCCATTATTTGGCTCTCCCTGATAACCAGAGAGAATCCACATCAGCAGAGACTGATTCCTCGTTTGCCAGGAACAGGAAAAATGAAAACAAGTCAAACAGTTTAGAGAAGATAGAGAAGAGGGTTCAGGCTTTGAACACCATCAACCAGAGCAAACGTGCAACACCACCCATCCCAAGCAAACCTCCTGGTGTTTTTTCCAAAGCATCAGGGCCAGTTAAAATGAGGAATGGCGTGAGGCAGCTTGCTGTCCGTCCACAGTCAGTGTTTGTGTCTCCACCACCAAAGGATAACAACCTGTCATGCTCCTTGCGCAGAAATGAGTCTTTAACAGCTACAGACCAACTTAGGGCTGTCCGTCGGAATTCCTCCTTCAGCAATGCGTGGTCACAGCCTGGTGACACAAAGGGAAAGCAGCCTGAGCAGCTGGGTACACAGAGCTCTGAGACCACCTCCAACCTCCCTACGCAGAGGAATGGGATCCCTGTGTCCACAGTCAGGCCAAAACCCATTGAGAAATCCCAGTTTATCCACAACAATCTCAAGGACATCTATGTTTCCATTGCAGACTACGAAGGGGATGAGGAGACTGCGGGGTTTCAGGAAGGTGTCTGCATGGAGGTCCTCGAAAGGAACCCAAATGGCTGGTGGTACTGCCAGATCATGAATGGTGTGAAGCCATTCAAAGGCTGGGTGCCCTCAAATTATTTGGAAAAAAAGAACTAATATTGCAATATCTTTAACCTCCCTAATTTATACTGTTCCTGCTGTGTACATGTGGAAAAAAACAATTGCTACACAAAAAGATGTTTCCCTGTGCTCCAGTTTGTACAAAGGAGTCTATACTGAGGACAAATCTGCCGTGTTCTGGAGAGGTTTGTGGGGTTTTACATGTTGTAAGCAACTATGAGGAAGATGCAGCATAGTCAAATGCCTTTTTGTGAAGTTGTTAATAATCTTGTATGTGTAACAGGGTATGACATCCCATCCTTCCCATTATTGATAGGAAACCAAACGTGTGCCTTTTGTGAGAGAGAAATACACATGTATCTACTTGGGGAGTTCTGTGCCAAACTCTGTTTTACAGTCTTGGCTCCCTTTCTCCTCATTCTTGTCCATATGTGGAATACCCAAGAACTTTGAATGCTTTTCCACAGCTTACAGTGAGAAGCAAATGAAAGTTTCTGAAAGAGAGGGACTCTAATCCTTTGGAGATGCTCACTTTTTTTTTTACTATACTCAACAGTTGGTAGGTCCAGAGTTGGAGCCTCTTCACTGCTGCGAGATTTGGTCTCTGACTTCAGTGTTGTTACTGCTAACTCACCAGAAAAGGCAACCAAGTGGGGTGGGGGCTTTTTGTTTCCTTTTGTTCTGTCTTGTTCTTTGAGTTGGGATTTCAGGTGTTCTAGGGCAGTGATGCCTACTGGTGCTTGTAAAAACAAACCTACAGACCCTATGCTTAAGCATGTTGATTACTTTGTTGGCTCCATGTTTAGTTCTGTGCCTGACTCCTGCCAGGTGATCCTGGTTGCTTCTCTTCCCAGAGCTGGGTTTCTCAAAACTTGTCATAATATCAAAATGTACAAAAGTCCCTTAGGACACTGAAGACAAACCTGTCAAATGTGTTAATTCCTGTTTTGCCCTCTGGTCTGAACCCAAGGGTGCTGACTGCTGGCAGGGCCCACGAGGGTATTAGTGAGAAATATCTGTAAGCTTCTGCAACATCAGTGTTTACAGTGAGTGGGGAAAAAAAAGCCATCAAACTCAGTCTGTACATCCTAATTTGTATATTTTTGGGGAATTGTTTTGTTGTTTTGTTTTTGTCTTTTCTGTGCATTCTGGGTTTACTTTTTCTTTGTGTGTGTGTATGTGTGAGTGTGTCTGGTTTTACCAGAAGAGACTTAAAACTGAAGTAGGAGCCAAATATGTATTTCTGTTCCCACTTGAATCCAAAAAGTACGCTTGTACTGGAAAGTGTGCCTGGGCTTCTCAGGCTCAGAGATTTAATATCAAAGCAATTAGATCTACAGTGCATCTAATCAGGAAGCTGCCTCCTCTAGTTCCAGTTCTGTTTGCCTTAGTTAACTCATGCTTTGAAACGTGGCACACGGATGTGGGAAATAGGTGTCCATGGGAAAAGGCTAGGAATGTGGAGTTATTTTAGAGGTAGCCTCGTACTGTAAACTCAATTGACTGAATCCCTACTGTACTTAAGGAAGTTGTGTTTTTTCTTTTTTTATACAGCCTTGTTAATCACTCAAGATCAATATCTAGTTCCTTTAAGTAATAGGCAGCCTTGTAAATCTGTTTTAAGGGGAGGGGCAGACCATTTCACTACTGGTTTACACCAAAAATTACATGTGCTCTTTTTCCACCAGAGTTTCATACTGATTTGGCTCAGAAGTTAAAGGTTATAAAGGCTTCAAAATAACTGGGATCAGGGGGCTGAGTAAAATAGCACAAAAATATCATGTTACTGGGGATGTTTCACTGCCAAGAAAAAAAAAAAAGAAAAAAATTAGGCAATTTATATGTTGTTCTTGTCTCTTTTTTCTCAGTTTTTCCTTTTTTTCTTTTTTTTTGGGGGGGGAGGGTTTGTTGTTTTGGGGAGTTTATTAATTTCCATGGTATCATTGAGAGAGTTGCCTACAGCTGACGTGACTGATGTCCTTTTGGTAGCTGAAGCAACATCCAGGTGCCACAACTGGCTACAAACAGTGCTGTGGTTCGAGCAGCTCTCTGCATGGAAGTGGGGAGGGGAGGCTGTTTGTTTGGGATCCCTTTACATTGTGGTGGCAGGAGAAGGAGGTGTAACTGCACAACAGCTCGGTTCACAGTGTGCAGGGTCCTCTTTGTACCTTGATGTCTTATCGTATGACATACAAGCATATATCCAGTTAGCTACATCCTACTGGATGTGTATCTGAGACATTGTGGCCCTGTCTCCCATACTTCTCCCCATTTTTAGTTGTAGTAATATGGTAGCAGCCATAAAAGACTGCTGGAGCTGTTGTGAGATTATAATAGAAGTATTATATTCTTCTGCTGGACAGTATTAAATAGAGCAATACATAGAGTTATCTGCTAGATTGCAGTACTAATAGTAGTGACTTAGTGATTCATATTAATGTTATGATTTATTTTAACAATAATGATGCGGAAGTGGTTCATTATTTTGAATTAATGCACTTTAACAATAAAAGAAACCAAAATGGAAGCCAATGCAGAGAACTAAGTGCATTATTTAAAGGTGCAGTATATAATTATCATTTTCTTGAAGCACATATTTATTAAGAATTAACTTATTATTTAAAATATTCTAAAGTTTTGTTTAAAGACATTCCCACTAGGTCATCTCTTTGGGGGGATATAAAGCACAGCTCCCAGATCTTCTGCATTGAGCCACTGAATACTCTGAGTGCGGTGCGGCATGACATGAGCCCCTACCCAGGGAGAGGAGAGCAGCATGCAGACAGGAGAGCCTGGGCTTTGTACTTTCAAACAGCAGCTCAGTGCCCCATGGCTCAATTGCTCTTTATCCCATCTCAAAGGCTACATGGCCCTCTGAGGAGGGGCCAGAACCTGTAGATGGGCTGCAAAGCCACAGTCATGGCCTCCCTCTCCCTCTGTCCTCACCTGTACCAGCAAAAAGGATGGAGTGCAGATGACCTATTTGTTGCTAGAAATGAATGTGGGCCACCTGGCATGCTGGCTTCCAGCCTGGTGGGAAAGCTTCAGTTTGGGCTTCCCTTTACTTGGTGGCTGTTTGGCTGCTTGTGTTTAAAAGGGCACTTTGAAAGCAAATACCCCCAAATGCAGTTTTTCCCCCTCCCGTCTTACCATTGTCATAGCATCTCTCACTGATCTCTTTTTTTGATTCTTTCAACTGAGAGATATCAGGAAAATAATTTTTTCCATTGGCGAGCAGCTAATTTTGGTCAGTTCTACTGATACCTGAAATACTGAAATACCCTTCACACTGTTAACTGTGGAACAGAGGGAAAGGCCTTAAGCTACATCAGAAAAGCTGACTGCAGGGCAGGAAAATCTGGCAGGGTGCTCAGAGGACAGGGTAGTGCTAGAAATGTTTTAGCTCTTTTCTAAAAATGTTGATGTCGCCTCTTATTTACTAAATTTGTCAGAATTGACACTGGATCAAGAGCAATATTTAAATGTAATGTACACCTCAGTGAACACTCAATGCAGAAATCAATCGTACTGTTTAAATTTCTCTTTCTGGTTTATTCCTCAACCAGATTGTTAAGAGGAAGAGCTCTGCAGGGCTTGAGCAAAGCCATTTGCAGCTGAAGGGGGCCCTCCTCTGGGTGGAGAGGTGTCTGCTCTCACAGTCTTGCTCTCACCCACTCTCCGTGCTTTCCAAAGAGTCTTGAATTTGGACCAGCAGAGATTCCAAACTCCAACGCCAGAGAACAAAATTAAAGAATGTGAAAATTGTGTCTTGCTGTATACTGCAACTTTAATAATAATGAGCACTTCTGAGTTCGTTATTGAGGTTTATATAATGCCTGAAAAGTTTATTTGCTGGTTTCCCTTGTCTTCCCTTTCAAAACACTTTCTTATAACAGCAAGAGTCATGTGTTTTTGTTAGGAGTCCTTCCCCGTGGGAGGCAATCCCTATTCATTGTTTTAGCTGTCACACTGTGCAATGGGTGAGTGTAGTCATATGTACCAGTCCTTTGCAAGCCAAACTTTTCAAGATAAAAGGGTGATGGGCACGTGCCGGGATACTTAACTGATGTGTCAACAGGAAGTTTTTAACTCAATGTATACAATAATAGCAAATACACAACAATGACAGATTGAAATTGTCTTGCAGCTAGACTCTTCAAAATGGAATTTCACATCTGCATGGGTATAGCTAAAAAATGGATTTGGCCCTTGTGGATGCACACCCCAAAGACTCCTTCCATTATGATGCTATAAAGTTTGACGAAGGCATTATATAATTGTTTTCATCACTTTCAGATCTTAATGAATCATATTTTATTGTAATATATATTCATTGCTTTCCTCAGTTAAAAAGAAAGTTACTGCTTTTATCTTATATGAAAAACAAGGGAATTTGATAAAGCATTCATTATTTTCATATTACTAGTATTAACAGAATAGAACTAGTACTATTTAATTTTAGATCTTCATAGCTAGCTTGTTAATAACTCATATTTTCCTGTGTTGTATCCTACTATTTTTTCTATTTTTTTTCCCAAATACTTTTCATTCTTGAGAAAAAGCAAATCCAATGAGTGGATAAGTGCAATATTCATAGAATAAACAGGCCCCTCATCCAGGACTTGGAGTGGAACGTGCAGTGTGAAATGTTTGTAATTCTCTATTCATGCACTCTTAGGGGAAGGGGCCGCTGGATGAAAACAGGGCCTTTGGGTAGGTAGAGACTGACAGCTGGGGTGGTTTGGCTTGGGAATGGCTGCTTTTCACAAAAAAGTATCACCTGTTCATGAAAGTATGAGGATTACGCAGCATGTTGCCAGGATTATGGATAGAATGTGCATTAACACCCTTGTCAATACAGGACTTCTGAGCTATGCTTGAAACACTCTTTATGTCATCCATGCATGATACTGTCTTCTGGTGTGCCTCTGCTGGTTACGTCCTCTGTTGCGCTTCAGAATTAACGATTACTTCAGAAGGGAAAATAATTCTGCTGGTGCAGTCCCGAATTTTGATACTGTATTGTGACTTGTATTTATTGCAAGAGCTATGGAAATATTTTTACAGGTTCTTATTTCTTTTCTTTCCTTATTGTTAACTTAAGAAAAAAAAAAGTCCCCATTTTATCTGGGTTAATTCTCACCTGCAGAATTTCACAGATGATTTGGATATTGATTTCATATGACTTGGCTTGCAAAGGTGGATCTCTTAGGCTGTAAATAAAGTTGGGCAGAAACTTCACTCTTCAAAAGAGGTTTTGTCTTAAATTCTATTTGAATGGAAGGAGACCTTCAAAAATAATGTGACTTTCCAGGTAGCAGCAAAATCTACTACCTTTGAAAAACTGGACTGTTTGTGTAAAGTGCAAGAGAAATGTGAAAGCCAGAGCACTTGATTCTCTGAGCTCTGGGAAGTACATCTCCTGTGGCTCTAGTTCCTGTCTCTGGAGCAGGAGTGTACCTCAGTTTTCTGCTTAGTTTTTGTCCTGCTGTTCTCAAGTTTGTCAAAAAACCTTAATATTACCAGAGATGTTTGCATTCAAACAGGAAAATGGAATTCTGCAGCGGTACTGAAATAGTATCAATCACATGATTTTGGAAAACCTCTCTTACTTTACAAAGTAGTAATCTGGTTTTGCGGAGCCAACTTAATTCTTTCACGTGCTCTTGTCTAAATTGGCAAGAAGCCCACGAGCATCAGCATCTTACACTGACAGAAGACCCTTGTGGGTGCTCAGCATGGACCGTTCTCAGCAAAAGCAAGCTCTGTGCACTCTTCCTACACCTCCGAGGGGTGCACAGGACTGCTGAGCCTTGGTGCTGTCCTGCCATGGATCCACTGTGCTGCAGATTTTGCAGCTTTTTTTAAACCAGCTGGAGCTTTGCTGCTATTTGCTGGTGGTTTCCCATCACCAGCAACTCCTTCTCTGTCAACTTCAGATGCTATTTAGCCACGCATCAAGGTGCTGTGTACCAGTGCAGTGTTTGATAGCTGCCAACAGTACCGACATGATGGGCTGAGAGCATGTGTTTGTCTAAGTTATTTTATTTCCATTTGCTTTTAGTTGCTTGCTAGAAGCAGGGACCACCAATGCAATGATGCATGGGGACTGTGTCTGCACACTTGAACTGTTTGATGACCTCTGCTAGTGCTGCCCAGTGCTTGTGTTTCTCTTTTCTCCCTCTGTGCCGCTCAGTAGTCATGTCTGTTGTGTGTGTCTGTAATTTTCAAATAAAGTACTGTATGTAAGGCCAGATCCAGAAGCCCCCAGTCAGCTGACTTGGGGTTGGGATGTAGGTTGCTGTTGCTGCTTTTCCTCCTCCATCTTAGACCCAACTTGGAGCAAAGCACAGATGTCTGTAAAGAGTCACCCATACATTTACTTTGGGGTGTCAGTTCTGTGGGGTGTGCATGCATTGCCAAGAGTGGAGCGAGGAGATCTTTTTTCTTGGGTGCCCTCACATCAGGGACTCTGCAGCAATTCCTGGAGCAAAAGCTGCACCGCACTGCATGCAGGCATGGTAGGCATAGGCAGAACAAATTAGTTTCTCCCATTTTATATTGTCAGGGCTGGGCTGGTCCCATCAAAAGTGTTATTCATTTGTTCTTGCATCAAGGTAGCATTGATTTTTAGTCGGAGAGTGCAATTTTGTTTTGTGTTTGGGTTTTTTTATAAATAAATTTGGTTTAAAGCTTCACACTGGCGTTTTACAGACCTGTTCTTATCAGTATAAGCCACTACTGTCCTGAGTTGAGACTCCTGTTTGTTACTAAATGAAAATTATGGAATTATGTTGATAATTTGGAAAGAAATCAGAAAATAAATTAAAGGTAACTATATTGGCAGGGGAGAGATAGATAAAATATGAGGAAAAACGTTTCCAATAAGGCCATAAATTATTTGGTCTGACACTGCAGGTGCTTTCTCTGTATAGATAGTTTAAATATATCACTGCTCTGTGTTATGATTTTTCATTATTGAGAAAAGTTGAGTTTTTTCACTCCGTAACATACTATGACAATCTGTATTCTGAAGCCACTGATCCACCAAAAAAAGACAAACATGGGTTACGTGCTTGTTGTAGTTGAGGCATTTTCTGTGTTTGGGAGTTTCGTATACCAAGGTTCAGCTGGTGGAGTGGGCAAGTGGTCTAAACCTGTCCACGCTGGCTGTCTGTGAAACATCCCTGTGCTAGTGGTGCTTCTCGAAAAATGTTGGGTTTAGTGACCTTACCCTGGTGCTCAGGGTCATTTGGTTACAATTGTACCTGTCTTTCATGGTCCCTGTTAGGTGGAGGACAAAAAGAGATGGGAGGGAGAATCACTTGGCACTGTAAAAGAATTTTAACAATATAACATCTAATATTTAGATAAATATTTCAGGCTTCTCTAGATATTCCCCATGAGAGCTGTTATTGACTCTGTATTTGATGACTGAAAGGTAAGCAAGATGGCAGCTTTCTCTGTGCAAACAGTTCTTTTGTGGTTTGAGAAGTTGTTCTTGAACTGATTCTGGGTCACCAGGGAAGAAGTAAAAATAAACAAAATCCCATCATCACCCTTGGGTTTTAGAGTGGGGGGACATCAAATTCTGTTCTGACTCTGGGTCCCCCAGAGCATGCAGATTTGGTTTGTTTCTGTCCCCTAGAAGTAGAAGAGAAGAGAATAGTGCAGTCACTGGAGCTTAGCCTGGAGCAATTAGTAAACTGGAACAAATAAAAAAAGAACATAAGAATAAACCTTTTTAAAAATAAAGTATTTCAATGATTAGCTGACTTAACTATTTCCTGTCTTGAATTTTCAGGGAGGAGGGGAAGTTGTAATTGTTTCCAGTCTCTAGGAGAAATTTTTCTGCGTCATGATGAATAGGCTTGCTGAAAAGACTTGCTCATTACTCGTGATGAGTTCAAACCTGGAATATTGCAAAAGCAAAGTGTGCGTAGCATTACAATGACTTTTTTGTACTGAGGGTCCAAAGTGAGTATTGCAAGATCAGTAGTGTACAGAGTAAGTGCATTTCTGCTGTCTGGCTAACTTGCACATGACATCAGTGCTTGATCCATTATTGCAGACTTAATTGCAGACACTCGTTACTCTGCTAACAGTGTTTGGGGAGAATCATGCAGATGAGCCTCCTCAGTTAAGACTCATTATCAAATTTATGTCAGGAGGAAGTCTTGGGAGCCTAAACCTGTTGTTGAATGAAGGCTGAAATCTGTTTGAGCCATTGTGCTCCCCTCCATTAGCAGAGCAATTGCACATGTCTGGTCTGGAAATTCCTACAGGGTTTGCTGTCCCAAAGTTGTAGTTGACCAAAAAGAAATATGGATCTAGGCCTGGTCTAAGTGAAGTTTTGCAGTGGGTTTCTTGGGTGGTTGATGTTATTGATGTGACCTTGAATATTAGATGCTGTTGTCATTTCTGTGTTGGTGTAGAGCTCCATCTTTTAGTGGTTAGGTGGTGGGAATGTACCTGGTGGGAGCTTGGGATTTTGGGAGAGTATGTCGGTGACCAGAGATAGAGAAATGTGTGGCTGGTCTTAGTTGTGTGTAGTCAAGTTGGTGATACTTTTTTTGTCTTTTTTGTTTGTTTGTTTTTAATATAGGAACCATTTTGTGTGTTCTGCTTGGGAAAAGGTGTAGAAGTTGGTGTGGTTTCTGTTGCAGTAAATATGAGATGGAATAGCTGAGACTTTTTTTTTTCTTTTTTTAAGAGAGTTTATGGGCGGGAGACCATTTAGTTTGTTTTGGGTTGCGAGTTAAGCCAAGAGAGGAAGAAAATGAGTCTGAGGAAACCCTTTTTTGTGGCAACAGCTTTGGACCATATTTTCTTATGGCCTTTGATCCACTGAAGGTAGTAGAGTGAATATTGTTCCTTGTGTGATGTTAGAGCTTTTGGTCATGAATTAATTCTTTAGAGAGCTGACAGGTATTTTGACATTCACAGAACATCCTATAGCAAATATGAGCTAGAGACAGGAATAATAACTGTAGTCTCATGCATTGTCCAGTTCTTGTTTAGTGAACTCAAAATGGTGACCAGTTGGATAAAACTGTTTGTACAATGAACAGCTCCTGCAAGGGTCCAGATGTGCTTGGGTCTCTGAGAGTCTTTCCTAGGAAAAGAAATCATGTGCGTGATAAAAGGATTTTGCCTTTCTCAGTCATCCCAGTAAAATTGAAATCCAGGAAAATGACACTTTTTTGCACTTAACAATATCTTTTGCCGTTGATGTTGAGAGTTATTGTTAATGAGGGATTAGATGCCCCAATCTGCCTGATCTGGCATAAGACAGAAGATCTTTTTGAGACCAGTCCCTGAGTCTGTGTGTAAATGGTAGATTTGATGCAAATTAGGGTACTAGATAAAAAACATGAGCAACTTTTCTATAGGCTAACACAAAATGTGTATCAGTGGGGAAAACACAGCTCTCCCTTTTGCCAAGTAACCCTGTAGAAATGTCCCTCAGGCTTTAGCACTAATCAACTGTGAACATTTGAGAATTCAGCTGATACATATTGTATTGGGGGCCTGGTTCTGTGGCTGGGACATCAGTAATGTGTCTTTGTCTCAGCAAGAATTACTGAAATCACCTTAACACAATGTTTCCATTTGCTCTGGATATGACAGTAGTGGGGGGGGAAGCTGTTGTGCAAAGCATTATCTCCCCCTTAATGCAGATTTGCAGACTTTACTTGACTGTAGTGCCCAGTCCAGAACTGTTTTCAGAGCTGTCCTCATTGGTTATGTCGTAAGATCAGCTTGTCTCCTTATGCCAAAGGCATGGGTAGATGGGTCAGGATGTTGGTGCCCTGTGAGGGACAGGGACTGCACACAGAGGGAGCTGCTGCCCTCCTCTCTGAGCCATGCCCAAGTGCTTGCTCAGAGAACTGCAAAGCAATGTAAAGCAATTAAGGTTTGGGATTTTTCCCTAGGTGTTCTGAAGCAGTGAAGTGAAAACAAATGTTTGTTTGGGGAATTTTAATCGTGTGTCTGTAAAGGTAAAAACTCTGTATGGATCTCTCAGCAGGGAATGAGAAACACCAATTGTCCTGGGAAATTGAACTTGTGAAGATGCAGAGCAAAAACTTCAGATTACTGTGCCTAAAAGTAGATCTCAGCATCTCTCTTTAGGCATTTATTAGAACTGGTGTTATCTTGGAATTGAGCAGCATTTAATAATGGCTAATTGAGACTGCTCAAAAACTCCTGCAGGAAAGGAAAAGACAGTTTGAGTTCTGGACACCTGTAGAAGAGGGAGTTGCAATAAATGTAAAATACTACCGGGTGCTTTATGAACTTAATTTCTCTCCTGGGATTGTCACAGATCCTTGTGACTGTATCTTGGCCTACACTAGCGCTGTGGCACAGCAGTTGGTCAGTGACACCTCTCTGCAAAAACTCATAACGATGCATCTGTGATAGGCATGTGTGCATTGGAAAAGATGAGCCTAAAAAGGCCTTGGAGTAAATGACACTTGATTAAAAAAACCCTCCTGATTTACATGTTCCAGATATGCTGAAATAACTTGCACTGAAGCAATTTCAGCCACTTCCAGGCATCTGCCATCATGCACTCTGGCAGCACACAGGTGCTGCAGTCTGCCAGGTAGTGGATGGTGGCAAGTGCTAGTGGAAAGGGAAATTCAGGATGCACACTGTCACTGCCCTTCCTGTTTGTCATCCACGCGTGAAGTCAGAGCTCTGCTGGGCCAAAGCAGGATCAGACCCTTGGCACAGTGTTTGCCATGACCCACAGGGCTCTGCCAAGCATCTGAGGATGCTCCTCTCTCCATGTGTGCAGGACCCTGGAGGGTTGTGAGGGACTGCCAGAGCTTGAGGGCTGTTTTCTCAGAGTTATTACAAGTTCTTGCAATGTGAACCTCTAATGTTTTCAAAGACTCAGGCAGAGAAAGGACTTACTAAACAAACGTACCTGTCATCTCCCAGTTCATTGATTGCTTGGACCAAAGGTGGTGCTAAATCTAATCTTTGTCTGTAATATTTATATTTTGTTGGATTTTTTTTTTTAAGTGTTTGATAAAACAGATGCAGTGTCCTTCTTACATGAGAAATTTAGTCCCAGCTTGGGACATGGCAAAACTCACTGGACCTTCAGGGTCCAGGATAGTTGCCTGTTAACATTTGAGCAGGCTTGCAGTGTTCAGGGGGGAAAAGGGTACTCTATCTTCAAATGCTTGCAGACTGTAAGAATTGACTTGTGATTTGTTTGTTTGTTGGTATTTTGTTTACATTGCCTCTTACACCCTAAGGAAAAATAAATTTTTGACCTTTTTAATTGTGATCCAGTTGGTTTGTTTTGTTGTTTTGGGGTTTATTTTTCTGATTTTTTCAGCACTGTTTTGATTCCGCTTGTGTTTGTCAAACCACTGAATTTATCTTTCCCAGAATACCTTACAACTTGTGTGTTCATGCAATTGCAAATTTCAGCTTAGGCTAAGTGGATAATGGAGTTTGTCTTGTTCCCAGGCTCTGAGTTGTTACTGTATGCTGTATTTTTGTCTCTTTTCTATTTTACAAAGTTTATGCACTGGTCACATCAGCCCTCAAACATGAAGAACGTTTGTCTCTGTTGAGCAAGTTTGTAAGGTATTCGGTCAGGGGTTTTTTTGGGTTTTTTTTGGAGAAGGTTATGGCATCAGATCCAAAATAAGAAGAAAAGCATACTTTTACAAAAGTGGTGCTTTGGTTCTGTGATAAATGGGTTGCTCTGCAAAATGGGATGAGCTTCTGTGTTCAGGCTGCAGAGCAAATGATGCTTGAACAGGGGATAGTAAGGTGTGATCCTGCAAGTTTGCTGACTCCTCTTACCCAGCTTTGAAGGTCGGAGGCCCAAATAGCTCAATAACTAGAAGTTCTTTCCAGTGCAAAGCTGCAGATGGATAAAACTAGTAATGGATCCCCTCTCCATATGTAGGATGTCTCTTGGGGAGGCTGAAGGCAGTGGATTAGGGGTTGTAATGAAGGGAGGATGGTTATAACAAGGGATGTAATAGTAGAGAAGAAGGAAGGTTCTTTTCTAGCACTTCAGTTCCCAACTTGATTGTAGGAGATGTTTCTCCATGCTGGCATGTAGGTGGGTGCTGCACATGAAGTCCTGTTCAGGCACCCCAGCTCTCTGAAGGATGCCAGAAATTAGATTTGATGCAGCACACAGTCATGGGTATTTTAAGGCACAAACTTAGTGGCAAGTGTGCCTGGGAACTGTGCCCTCTCTTGCCCTTGTGCCAAGTGAGCCAGCCAGCTTGGGGTGGAAAGGGTTTTTCTGGGCTGGTGCAATCACCATCTACTAATGTATTCCCTTGTGCACTGTAACTCACTGTTAATTGCTCCCCTCTTGCCTATTTTTCTCTGAGAGCTCCTGCCAGAGTTGTGCTGCACTGAAGACTAAATTTTTCTGGTCCTACTTACATATATTTGTAGTGTTTGTGAAAAGAAGTAAATCGATCTCAGAAGGAGTTGTGTGCCGGGCCGGGCACTGAGCACCAGGTGGCGATGCTGGACCAGCGCTGCAGCTCCTGGACCACTTTCGGAGCATCCTCCCTCATGTTCCTCCACCTCCTCCTCGCCCCTCCATGGGCTCGGAGCCCTCGGGCTGTGCCGCAGCCGGGATAGCCCGGGGATGGCCCTGCCTGAGGCAGCAGTCGGGCTGCAGTGCTGAGGATACCCTGTCACTGGGGAAGGTCAGTGCTGCACCATAGTTGGGTCTTGGTGGAGAATAGTTTGGGAGCAGTGGTGAAATTGCAGCTCTGGTTTGGATTTGGTGAGGTGACAATGATGGCCTGGGGAGGCAGGGCAGGGCAGGGCAGGGTGACTCCAGCGATGCTCAGCAGATGAGGATGCAGAGCTCACTGGGGCTGTTGCACGTAGCAACTGCAGGAGGGAATGCACAGACTGAGGCTGTGAGAGAAGAAACGTGGGGGACCTGCCATGGTCCTTCTTGCTGATGCTAGGGGACGGCAAGATTTGAGTTTGACTCAGAGTTCACTTGTTGTAATCTCTGGCAGTGTTTGGGTGCAGCATGTCTGGCAGGTCAGTGCCCCCAGTTTCTGTGTTGTGTAAGTCTGTCCCTTGCTCCTGAGGGGATGAGAAGCCTTTCCAGACCCACTAGAGGTCCTCCTGTCCTCGGCAAAGCAAGAGCTGGGAACAGCTCTTGGACGGCAGCACATGTATACGCAGTCTTGCAGCTAGGATCTCCTCAGGCTGGTGTTAGAGAAAGCTGGGTTGTAGAAGTGGTTTTGCTCTACCCAGCCTGGAATGTTTTAGGCCACTGGATATATTAGATAGGAGTGGTTTCAGCTGGAGAGGCTGAGGACACCTCTCCTGGGATGTCTCTATCCCTTGGCAGACGGAGCACCCACACTGAGGGAGAAGATGCCAACTCAGGTACATCCTGTGACAAGACAGTGATCCATCTAGTCTCTCATCTGCTGAATAGAGAAACAAAAGGATGAGGGGGAAAATGGCTCAAATGGCTGTGTTGTAGGTGTGTTCCTGAGAAGATAGCTGCAGTAGAGGAGCTACTGGATTTTGAGGGAACTGGCGTCACCTTTGGAGAATCCAAATTCCCTTTGGGTCCTTGTGTCCCTTGCTACATGCTCAGGAAACATCTGCATCTTAGCATCTGCCCTGGCCAGACCACAGATTGTCAGTGAGCCTTCTCAACATGTTCAGGGTTGGGATGCTACTGATCTGCCTCATTTTCAGCCATCTTACCTGACTCCTATTAGGCTGAGCATGTCCTGGCTTTCCTCTCAACATGCTTTTTCTTGTGTTGGTGGAGGGTGGATTTTTTGTTTGTGGGGTTTTTTTGTTTGTTTGTTTGTTTTGTTTTGGTTTTTTTTTTGTTACAGGCGCTCAGGAGAGACTGTAAACAAGGCAGTGGGAGTGGAGAAGCTGTGGCTTCTCTCTGAGAAGGTTATGAAGAGGCTCAGGAGCGTGGGGCTTAAGTTTTCAGGAATGCTGTTAGCCCTCACTTCTACTTCTGTGGCTTCCTTTATTCCTTACATTTGTATGGTGTCCGTCAAGGGGATATTCATTACCCATCTTCCAATGCCCTCTCATCTTCAAGCAATAAGGGAAAGCCTGAGATCCTCCACCCAGATCTCTCTAAGGAAGAGCCTCTCATGCCACCTTCACTCTTCCCTAAGTCTCACTGTGCTACCCATCGTGTTTTGCTGTGCTGATGAAGTGGTAAGTACTCAGTCACCCATGCTGCTGCAGGATATCTAAATCAACTTTATTCACGATCACAGTTATCCAATTTTTCACAATGAGTTATTCTTCTCTTAGAACACAAAACATCTTAAAGTAAAGCAATGAAATGCAAATGACACAAGAACACAGAGGTACATGGGAACCTACACCAGTCAAACAAAACAAAAGATTAGGATTGTTGTTACTTTTACTGGTTTTGCTGGTTGTTTTTGGTGGTTTTTTTTTTTTTTTCCTCTCCCTGAAGAGAGCCTTGTTCTCCTTCCTACTTACAGCTGGAGGCAGCTGATATGGGAGCAGGACTTAACCCCAATTTTTGAGCTCAGATGCTGGGGGAGCTTTCAGCTTCTACTAACTCCTAGAGTTTGGTCCACAGTAAAACAAACACAGTTAATATATTAAAACACTCTCAATTCAAAAGGTGAAAAGGGAATTCACACCACTGCACTGGTACTCATGGATGGACTTCCTTGAAAAATAAAGTTTACCCCTTGGCTTGCCCTACACGGAGGGAAACTGGTCCCACTGGTGCGGTGAAGGCTCGGGAGGCTGCTTATTGCACATTTCCCCACATCCACTATTTAATCAACACCTTCTTGCCCCTTGGGTTCTTCCTTTCTGAAATCCTTGCACTGGAGTTTGTATAACTACTGAAACAGGTTTCCTGTGTGCACTGGTCACAGCTCTGTCCCCAGGCAAGCTGGAGGCTGGCTGCCTGCCTGCGGACCAGCCGTGCTCCTGGCATGGCTGCTCTGACTTCCCCCAGACTTGTGCCAACTGGCTCTCCTGCACGAGAGCCATGATGCTCTGGAGCTTTCGACAGCTGGTCCGGGGGACAGGGCTGGGTTGGGGCTGTACATCAGAGGTATGCAAAGAAATAAATCCCTGTAACCCAGAGTATCAGCGTTCAAGTTAGTGCTGCCCACTGGGCAGGCTGGGGGCAGCTGCAGACCCCCTGGTAAGCTGTAGTGATGGTGGCACCTTCAGAGAAAGGCTCTATAATATGCTCCTCAGCCAGTAGTCCCTTTTTTCATCTCCTCAAGAAGACAACGAGGATGTGTTTTCCAGGCAGTTTTAGGAGCAGCCTCTGCCAGTGGTCATTCACCCACCTCCTGCCATGTGGGACATGATGTCCCCTGCAGCAAACAACTGTGTAAGTTAGATGCTGTTAGCCCCCCACCACGCTCTTCCCCTCTGTCCCATCAATGGCCATATGCTGGTGTGCAAGGAAAAGCTCAGCTGGAAGGGTGCAACTCCATGGCCTTCCCTGGTCTGGCCAGATGGGCAACATGGTGGGACAAACTCTACTGCTGTGGTGCTCCAGCCCTGATCTCCCCTCAGGACCCAGACACAGTCTCTCCCTCCCCTGCAGCCCTGGAAGGCAGCAGGATGGGTCAGGAGGGGAGACAGGCAGCTCCTGATGCTGCCAAGCCACCCAGCTCCAGTGGGTCAGGCCCCACAGCCCTGGCAGAGCAGCAGCTCTTTACAAAGAAACCATGGGGGTTGCCATTCTCCCCACTGGGGGACAGGATGTTCCCATCTGAAGGAGGGAAGGGGATTTGTTTTAATAAACCAAAGCAAACCAAACCCCTCAAGTTTGGTTGTTTTTGTGGGTTTTTTCCATTCCTTTCTTCCTAACACGTAAGGACAGCCGTGTCCTGCCGGTGTGGCTGTGAAGGGCTGAGTACCACCTGGCTGGTTTTGTCTTAAAGCACAGTGATAAAGTTACCAGTAAAGGAAACCCACAGACATGTGGGTTTATACATTCTTCCGTGGTGAGGCTGGGGGTTTTCCTCACAAGTGCTGTCTGGATGGTAGTGGGAGAGAGGTGAGGGAGATATGTCTCCCTCTCCCAACAGGCCTGTGGGAAGAGAGATGCTGCTGAATCCCTTGTGCTGTGTGGAGACTGCACACAAATTGGTAGTGGTGGGGGTTGAGAGCCGCTCATCATGCAAGGGGATGGTGATAGGAGGTGGCTGGATGCTACTGGGAGGGAGCAAGGCTGTTGCCATTATTGGGTAGTCAAACCTACCCTGAATGCCTCTGTCAGGAAGGGGGGGGCAGCCCTCAAGGGGCTGCCATGGGGCTGCTCTTCTGTCTGTGGGCATTGCTTCATGGTAGGTTTTGCTGAGGTGGGTTTTGCTTCACAAATCTTGGGTTCTTTTCTGCACAGCCTTTCTGCTGTGAGTGTGCTCACTGCACCTCCCTCACTGGTTCAAAGCTTGCCTTGCTCCATCCTTCCTGAGGGGCCTCCTATGGTCAGGCTGGCTGTACACACAAACATGTTGCTTGTTTCTTCTCTTCTGCTGTCTCTGCACGTGGGGTGCCTCTAGAAGGAGATGTGTAGCACTGAACCTTTTACCACTTAGCTGTATTTGCTAAACAGTGGAGACTCCCCTCTGCTGTGCACGGTCTAGAAAAGGGATGATTGCACCAGCTGGCTTTTGTTGAGATAAAGTTGAAAATCCACAAGGGAGAGTAGTCCATCGCAACTTCCCTGACCCACTGGAGTTCAGCCCCAGGGCTTGATTGGAGGGTATATGAGCAGCACGTGAGCTTGTCTCATCGGTTGTCCATTGAAGAGGGGATCAGGGTGATGATGAGTGACAGTTTTTGAATCTCCTGGGTGATGAATAGAGACCAAGACCTGTGCTGTTTCATGGCCTCCTCTCGACCTGCCCAGTCCCCACCACAGCATCAGCTGTTACTCTAAGTGCTGCGGTATGTTTTGATGATATCTTTGATGGCCCGTCTGCAAATGGGGCAGCAAGCATTGGCCATCTTCTTCAGCTTCAGCCCACATGAATAGCAGAGACACATGTGTCCACAGGAGTAAATGACTGTGTCTACCATGTTCTCATAGCAGATGGTGCATTCATCTACCCAGGGCCCTGAGACGGATGAGAAAATCGGTGACTCAGGCAAGCTGCTTGGAGAGTTGGGAGCTGTGCCTGTAACACAAAAAAACAGGGTTACTCATGTTGCTTTCTGACATCCTGAGGTAATTTCTGCCCTGAAGCCAGCTGCAGAGAACCATGCCCTAGCAGAAATGGATGCTACAGGACTAGGGTTCCTTCCTGTGACCTACTGTCCCACTTCGCTGAGTTATCCTGGTTAATGCCAATGCTCAAGGCAGCAGAAAGGCAACATCTACTGGGGTCTGCTGCCCACGCAGAGCAAACCAAGAGACAGCTGTTCCTATGCAAGAAGGATTTGGTAAGCTATATATCCCACCATCAATGCCTTGGGATCATGCAGGTGCCTGGGAGTTTTAAAAGTGCTGCAGAACAGCCTATCCTTTTCTACTGCACGTGCATTTATCTAAATATCACTGTATTTCATCAGCATGTTAGAAATAGCAATACTACATTTTGCTGAAGAGGGTACTGAAGGTATGTGGAGAGAGAAGGCAGAGCTGTAGACAGACCCTTAGCTCCAGTCTAAGCTAGCAACGTGTCACTGCCACACAGCTCTCCAGAAGTTCTGCATCACAGGGCCGTGCACGTAGCAGAAAATCCGCTGCTTCCCTTGGGACCTTTCATGATGAAAAGGGTTGGAGAAATACTGCTGTCTAGGCATCTAAGCAGCTTCCACGTAAAACAGACTGAAAATAGCCTTTGCAGAGGCTCTCCCTTCCTCCCCAGGGGAGCTGACAGGATAATAATAATAATAGTCTGTTGATTATTGTGGTTTTAGAATCCTTCTGGGAGACAAATGTGAGATCGTGAAGGGAGGCAGTGGGGAGGCAAAGGACAGGCAGCAGGGGATCCCACCACACTTACCACTGATAGAGCTGCAGAGGGGGCCAGAGCCACATGTAGACAATAAGGGGCCAGAGACACCACTGCAGAGGACAGTGGGGGAATTGGGTGTTGATGTGGGCGAGCTTGGTGTGGACAATCCCAGCCGTTCTGCTAATATGGTGGAACCTGCACCGTGAGAAAAGAAACCTACAGTTATTTTTAAAAATTGAGACTGACAAGGCACTGGGGATATGTGGCAGGGGATGCAGCTCTCAGTGCTTGTCAGGATTAGTCTCATCAGCATGAGAATCCTTATATGCCTTTTTTAATGCTAGCAGCTGGTCCTGAACAAACTCCCACATCCACTGAAATTTGCTGGAGCTCCCTTAGCCATCATAACTCTTTGTTTCTACCCTTAAATGTGTCCCAAGCCATTTAGTGCAGTTATTTCCCGTGTGGTTTCCTGCTCATATGTGCCCTTAGCACTACAGCCAGCCATGGGTTTGCAGCAGTAGAGGACATAACCTGCAGAAGGGTGGGCAGGACTCCGGCACAACAAGTGTCAAAGCATCACCTTGTCAAAGCATTTTTTGCTAACCTAGTGCAAAACTGCATCATTCCAGGCTCCAAAAAATACGTACAGTCACTCAAGGACTTTCCAGAGACAAACATGAGGGTTTGGCAATCAGAAAACCTTAGCTATGCTCACTGCTCTGCTTCTTTGGTAGGGTGGCTTGTCAGAGGCAGGGATAAGTCACCAAAATGCATTTGGATCAGGGATGAAGGAGACTTCTCCCCCTATTCAGGAATGTTTTCTCCACTCCCTGCAGGTCTGGATGTGATGGCTCAAGAGTGCAGACCTCTTCAAGCCTCTCCTAGGTGTCCCCAGCTCCATTATCTTCTGCTCTCACTACCCACCATCATCTCCATGGTAGTATGCTGTCTGCCAGAAAAGCCAGCTCTATTCCACAGCCTGTCTGCACCCTCCCTCCATCTCAGCCTCTTTATTCTGTTGTTACAACAACAAATATCTTAAAGCCCCTTCCAGAAGGGAAAAATGTTGGGAATGCTTAAAACTTTACCTGCTGCAAAGAATTTGTAGGGGACTTTCATTGTTACTGACGCAGCCCGGTCTTCACTAAGCAAGTGATGAGAAAGCAGCAAACATGTGCATGAAACAAAGGATGGTTTCCTGGTGGTAAGAACTAGCTTGCCTATGGTTCTAAAGTTTCTAGTTCCCCAGCAGAGAAGACAACCAGAGTAAGTCCAAATCAGAACTAGAATGCTCAGACTTCTTCATGTTACCATATAAGGAGCCAGAGACACAGAGGTTTGGGATCCACAGTGTCCTCAATGAGTTGGAGGCTACTCTCCAGGGAAAACACAGCAGTGGGAGGTCAGGAAAACCCCATGCACCAGAAAGGTCCTTCAGTTCTTATTTGCAGGGAGGCTACTGAGGCAAGAAAGACCAACCCTGGGAAGCAGGGACTGCAAGTGCCATCTGTGGATTGTGCAAAACAGCAAAAGCACAGATTCTCCTGCCCTTTTCAGCAGAACAAGACTGAGCAGTTACAGTGGAGCACAGGGACTGAGAAGGGCTCATGTTTGACTCAAGTCTCTTCTGAGGACTATGTTTTAGAAAGGAAGCAATTAGACTTAGCCTTCAGTTCCTCAGTTTTACCCCTCTCCAAATAAAGGAGTGCTCTACTTCCAGGCAGAAGCTGAATTAAATTAGACTCCTAAAGGGCTTTGGAGCTCTCACACTTGAGATACTGTAGAGAGGTACCTCCTTTACTGGACAGATGGGAGCTGAGGCTGGAGTTTAGCTCAGTAAATATGCAAAGAGAATGATGCAGCCTCTAATGACAGCCACTAGCAATAGCCCTTCCCCTCCAGTCTGACAGATGACCTTAGCAGAAAACTCACCCTGTGGTAACACACACTGAAAACAGGCCCAGCAGGGGCACAGGGTTCAGCTAGTTCACTGCACACACAACAAATATGAACACTGAGCAGCTGAACAAGTTTTTCAAGCCTTCCCTCTCCTCCCTGCAGCCTGGAGATATTTCTTCCACTCGGCTGACACACAGCACATTGCATTTCTAACACCAACCTGGTCATTTCATTAAAGGCAAAATAAAGACTGTTAGGAGCACTTCTCTTCCTGGACTAATAGGAGAATTTGGAGGTGCCCCAAGTATCACAGAGTATGAGCTGATAAAGCATGCTGGCAGCAGGGCAAATGGCCTTTCCACAGTGCAAGGAGAGCTCATCAGTGTAGCAACCACAGTTTTCTCTGGTTGGAGCTAGTCTGAGTCCCAAAATGGCCTTGCCCAAGACCCGAGGGCCAGTAGACACCTTGCCAATTCTTTCTCCTAATACAAGGCACAGCTCTTGACTTTTCTCCAGCATAAGTATAGAGCTTTGTTTAAAACAATCTGAGTTCCCTACCAGACAAGACACATTTCTCCCTTGGTGACAGAATAATCAACATAAGACACGTTACTCACGCTGTTAATATATTGCTGGATGGTGTGCAGATACCATGACAAGGAGCGTGGAATGAGATCATGTGCAGAGTGGAATGAGTGTGGCCAGCCTGGCTTAACTAAAACCAGACACATGTGCTCAAGGCCAAACATGCTCATTGTGTGCACAGAGTTCCCACCAAGAACCAGCTTTCAAATCATAATTTTAAAAAACTAAATAATTCTAAATAAATCAATTTAAACATTCTTTCTCTCTCTAAATCTCCCAGATCAATTGTCTCTGCTGCTAACTTGTCTCATGCTTGATCTCAAACATGCTGAACACACTGGAATCACCTTTAAATAGATCTTGAATCAATTCCATTTGCTTTTTTTTTATCTTTACAAAGTCCATTATTAGCAAAGTCCAATGCAGACTCAAGCTTTCTCTGCCCTTCTGTCATCGCTCTGACAGAGGTGCAAATAAATTAACCTATATGTCCACCCACAAAAGGAAAGAGAGTATTTTATTTTCAGAAGAGAGTTTTACCATGGAATGTACAGACAACATCATGCCAGGAAAGGCTGCTAGTATGCTAAAGGTTTGTAGATCAAAATGGTCTTGCCAAACTGGAAATGGGATCAGAAGTAAATGGGATGGTATTCAGTGTGATCAAATGCAAAAAGCAGCACTTAAGCAGAGATAATCAGCGACCCAAATACAGGACAGGGAATTGGTCCATTCAATTAGAAATACAGCTGTCCTACAGAAAAAGGCCTGGGAATTGCTGAAGTCACCAGATGATCATAAATCAACAATACCATCCTGTTATGACAAGATTGGGCCAATCCAGGGTTATATGAGGCTGGTTAAGGACTGGAGCAGGAGCCTGGAGCCACTGTGGTATCTCTGCCCCTGGAAACACTCAAAACTGGAAGTTTTGGGACATAGTCTTGTGCTACCTTGGAAGTTAGCCCTGCTTTGAGCAGGAGGTTGGATTAGGTAATTCCCTGGGGTCCCTTCTGACCTAAAATGTTGTATGATTCTATGATTTTTAGATGGCAACATTTTTCTACTGCTAAAAGGAGTGAAGAAACAATCTGTTCTTCATGAATGTTCTATATAAGACGAGAAATGATGGGTTCACACTCCTAAAGTATTCAGGTTAGACATTATGTAGATAGCGAAGCACTCTAAAGCAATCAGACTTCCCAGAGAGACTATGGCATGTCCATCATTAGAGCTTTTTCAGGACAGAAAGGTGAAGTAGGCAGTCTCTTGGGATCCCATCCAGCATTTACAATTTTTATGAGTAGCTATCTGTATCCATAATTGCCTTTTTATAAAATGCCATAACTGTGACCAAAATACAGCAGCTGTGGCTGCTAGAGCTGCTTTTGATTCTCTGTGTCTATTGTGGCGAACAGGGTGGTTTTCCAGAACATTGCAATCCACTCTCCATGGTATCTATGACGCTGTCCCAGCTTTTATGCATCTCTCTTAATGGCAGCTGTCTGGGGAGAGCTGTACTGATGAAGGCTTCACAAGGGTAAGAAGACCAGTTGCAGTCAGTGCTCTCAAAAATACAGAGAATTTTCAATTAACTCCCCCCCTTAATTAATTCACAGAGGTATTATTTCTACATTTCTTTCTCAAAACAAAGTGATTATGTTGACCTGCTTATTCCTGTGTAGGCCCAAGAGAGAATTGGAAAACAACCCCAACAACAAAACCAGGTGGGAAGAACAATGTGCTGCCTGCATTCTCCTTGTGAATATGCTTAGGGACATTTGCTATGGTGCAAATAAATACCCAAGGCATCTCTGTGGCCTAGAGCAGGGAGTAGCTGCCACAAATCTGTTCTGCAGCTACTCCCAACCCATTGCTAGCAAGCAGTATATTAAAGCTCCCAGATTCAAACAACACAATATACAGCTGAGGTGGAGAGAAAAGTAATGCCAAAGAGCATGTTATTTTCTTATTACTATGGACTTTGGATCACTGAAGGTTGGAAAACTACCAGTTTAAGGTGTTCATAACACGTTTCTTAACCTGGCGTCTATTCCTGAGAGGGGTGATAGAGGGGCAGGGCCATTCCTGGGAGTCAGATAATAACAACAGAACAAGAACTTCATCAGATTATGAAAAGCATCCATCAGCCAGTGAAAGGTACACAGTAACTTCTTGGGATTTGACCCAGGAATTCCTCATTCTGTCCCAGTGTGGGGAGGAGTGTTCATGGTCTAAGGACACAAATGCAAGATGCAAACCATTTGACCAAATCTCTGTCTCCCTCTCTTATCCCTTTCTCCCTCATAATTAAATTCAACATTATACAGCCCCACTGCACTTTTTCAGATCTTAACCTAAAAGGCCTGCAAGCGCAGTGTCAGAGCACTGGGACTGTGCCTGTGGAAGTCTTGCAGAAATCAGGCTCCACAGGCTGAAAATGTCTGCGGCTTTGAAGTGGAAATGTAGTATTGCATAGTCTGAAGACTTGGCTTTCAAAGTAGAGAAGAAACAAATGAGCAATGCTCAGTGTTTGCTGGCTGCAAACAGGAAACCATATAATGATTCCTGTCCCTCTCCCCCCCCCCAATGTTTTCTGGCAGTGCCAAACACTAACTCAGGTGTTTCATTCACCGTCTATTTGCATTACTTGTCCTAGGCTCTTAATGACTATTTCAGAGGCACAATAAAAATAATGCATAACCCAT